TATTTTCCTTAGTCACTCATACGGATCACTGGATTGTGGTAGCAATTTTTTTTTTTTCTCCCTAAGATTACTCATACCTGAAAGGATACATCTTGATAGGAAATGAAATTCAGATATTGCCCAAAAAATATATTATTGTCATTTTCAAATGAGAAAAAGAAAATCAGAACTTCATTGAAAGAATGTATGTCCTTTGTGGCAAATTATCAAAATATTTTTAATAGTTATTAATTACTTTCCAGATAGAAGGGAAATAATCAGAAAGACAACTTGATATTTTGAAGATACAAAGGAAACACTCTTGAGAATATCTGAAAATAAAGCAGCGTACTAAAAATCATGTGTCATGATTTGCAGATAATTCTGGTACCTCTTCCTTTGAAAGAAACCTTATTGTGTGCAAATTAGTGGGAAATGAGAATGACTATTTAGTTCCAAGATCTGCCTGTGTACTGTGCGGTAACCAGTCATATTCTCAGACACCCTTTGATCTTGGAGACCAAGGAATTAAAGTTTTTGTCATTTATCCTAAGGTACAACTAGAGCTGCAGAACTGCAACTTGCTGCAACCGCAGTTGCAGAACTATGAGAGGTGTCTGATGATTGTGTCAGCATTAACCAGATTTGTAGAGGCCTGAGCTACACCTTGGGTGTCTGTACGCTGCACAGCTGAAAGGATGTTCAGTATTTTCTGGAAATCAAAAGTTTTATGTCTTTAGTGGTGGTGTTTCCTCATTGCAGTTTTTGTTTTTTCAACGGTGAATGATATACATAGGGGTACTGGAAAGACAATTTTAGATATTGAATAAAAATTAAATTTATTTTAAAATATGCTAAAAGATCTTTAAGATATGGTATTAAAATTAGAATAATCTTTTGTCTCCATTCTGTATCATAGGTTTCCCTTTTATTGAAAAAAAAAAACCAAACTGAAAAAAAATAAGAGAAAAAATATATTTCATTCTTTCTCTGAAAGTGTTTATTTTCCTAGACATCATCAAAATTATAAAAATGTATAAAGATCTGAATATGAGTTGTTAGAAAAGGGAACATTGTGCACTAACAGCCAGTGATACCTCTGTGCCTTGAGAGACTTGTGTTAGAAAATGGTCCATTCTATCTACAAAAATTACTTTTTTCAATTTCTTAATACTCATGAAGCATAATGGAGAATATATTCTTCGTGTAAAAAAAACTTGGGCAGATTTCAGAAGAAATGATCCTGTTAATGCAGAGCCTCAAAAAAGTAAATAATAATTGTGCAAGTAAGGAGTTCTTATGTAAGGAGTGGAAGGGATAAATGTCCTTCCACATATTAAACTGCTGCTGAGGATAATTGAATAGTATATTTTAGGCAGTAGAAATCTACATGTGAGAAAGACATAGTATACAGAGGGAAAGGACAATAGGACGAGGGGTAATGGTCACAAGCTGAAGCATAAGAAGTTCTGTCTCCAGGTGAGGAGCAACTTCTTTACTGTTAGGGTGACAGAGCAGTGGAACAGGCTGCCCAGGGRGGTTGTGGAGTCTCCTACTCTGGAGGTCTTCAAAACCCGCCTGGATGCCACCCTGTGCCACATGCTGTAGGTGTGCCTGCTTGAGCAGGAAGGTTGGACTAGATGATCTGTAGAGGTCCCTTCCAACCTTAAATATTCTGTGAATCTGTGGAAAGTCCCCAAATCATCTCTTTAGATTAGGTTTTGCCCTTTATATTTTACAGCTTGACCCTTTTTTTTTTCTCAAGCTAGCTGGTCATCTCGTCACTATGAGGGGCCCTTGGCTTCAAAGATGAAGGTAAGACACTTCAGTGCATGCAGAAGTTAATGCAGAAGCGAGGATGGCTTCAGAGGAGGAACGATGTGAGGCAGTAGCTCCCAGAGACAAGCAAGTCCCTAATGCAGCAATGACCCAACGGCAAGAGATGGACCAAGACCAGGAGGCCCATGCGGGTCGGCAGCCTCCTCCAGTCGCGCAGCCCGGCCCCAAGAGCCTGAGAAGAGTGAAGGAAAGCTCCAGCTTTGCCCGCTRGTTGTTTCTGAGGTCTCCCCACAGAGCAGAGCACACAGGCTTTGGTCCAACCTCGCCACCTCCCAGCATCGCTCAGGAGGCCGAGGATCTCATTTGGAGGTGGGGAATCCACCGGTCAGGCCTCCAGTTACCCCCGCTGGATTTCAGCCCTTTGGGGGCTATCATCTTCACCTTCTGCTCCTTTTCTTCCCAGTACCTGGGTATTTTAAGGAGCCAAGTTTGCTCCCCTGATTTCTAAAGGCCAGGCAAGCCGGGGAAATTTAATTCCTTTGGCTGGAGAGCGGCCGGGAGAGAGGCCCGGAGAGGAGGGGTCATGTTAAAGAGCGCCCGAGCGCAGGCTCCGGTCTCTTTTGCTCGCCGTGACAGCAAAGGGTCACGCTGGAAACCGCAAGCTGGGACTTACCGAGCGGCCTCTCATCTTTCCCTCTTAGTTTTACCGCTCTCTTTCTCTCCTTTTGTCTTCTCGTTTTTCCTAGGAAGAGGCATTTGCGTTGACAACTTCTTGGAGAGCCCTGGGACAGCATTTTCCCGAGGAGGGTAAGGGATTTTAAYGCCTGGTTTTGATAGTGCTCAGAAGACAAAATTGCCAAGGGGGGGAGGTTGTTTGCTTGAGTGCAGTGTTTTGGAGCCCAGAGTGTCCTTTGGCAGCAGTTATTCTTAAGCTGAAGTAAATTAGGTAAAGGCGTTTTGKCTATAGGAAATCAATTCATTCAAGGTTTTCAAAGTTCACTAAATTTGGTTTATTGCGGGATTGTCTGATTTGTTTCACTAGTTTCGCATTTCCTTTCACTTATGTGCTTTCACAGTGAACTAGCTAGGGAAATCTCTGCTGGTGAAAAAGTTACCTTTCAGGAAAAAAAAACAGCGGTTTTAAAAAACAGCTTGGAATTTCATGTCTAAATGAGCTTTATAATGACTTAATGCATTAAGTTTCACTCCCGCACATTGTGTGGTAAAAATTCATAAAAGTTATGGCCCTCTAAACTACTTAGACCTGAAAATACAATTGCCAAAAGAGCATTCCCTAGCCAGCAGTAAAGTTGTGGCTGTAAGTCTAAAAAGCTATAAATAACACTGCAAAGCACATGCAGAAGTTTGGTTTTCATCCCCAGCGAACGCGCGCACCTTGCGCTGGCGGTAGCCTAAGTTTGCGGTAGCGTCGTTTTATTGCGAAAASAGAAAAACCGCCCTAAGGAGCGAAGTGAACCCAGTGGAGCGGCGAAATACACCTTGGAACGGACCTCTCTTAAAATGGCAAGCGGCTGGGGCCGATGCTATTCCTGGAGGTGCCTCTGACGGCTCCCGGCAGATGCAGCGCCGGGAATGCGGCCGCGGCGGGGGGAGGCGGGTGGCAGCTGCCCCGCGCTGGCGCGGCCTCCGTGGCCGCTCGCGCCCGGTGCCAGCGCGCGGCGACGCTGGCGCCCGCGGCCTTCGCCCCTGCTGCCCTGCTCGCCCACGCCGCCCCTCGGCGGGGAAGCGGCGCCCCTGCGCCGGGCAGCACCCGTGCCTCGCTGCAGGGGTGAGCGTGCGGGCAGCACCGGTGTGATGAGGCTGGGCCCAGAAATAAGGGGAGGCGGGTTTGTGATCTTGAACTGCTGAACAGTCCGGTCTTCCCTCATTAAACCGTATTTCTCAATGTTCTGTCTTTTATGAACACGAGGATCTCCCCAAAAATTAGCTGCTGTAGTTGGCGCTGTATTCAAATGACACTGCTGTCAGCAACTCTGCTTTTAACTGCAGGGTTGGTTCCAGGGCCAGTGCTTCCCTTCTGACGTATTTACACATACTTTTTTTTTTTTTTATTATTTCATTTCATTTCATTTCATTTCATTTCATTTCATTTCATTTCATTTCATTTCATTTCATTTCATATTTCATTTTTAAAGCCCTTTTGAGAATTCCCTGAAGGCCAACTCACAGTGCATTTGGACAACAGCTTGACTCTTCATTTCAGCAATGCTTGGAACCTGCCTACAGCTGATACGTCTAGTTCAAACTTCTATTCTAACAAAACTGTCTAGGAATAATTATTCCCTTCACGCGTAAAGAATTTGTTTAAAATAACGCATTCTGCTACAGTTTGCACAAAATCTTTTTCAAGGAAAAGCAGTTAGATCTCTCCTCTCCATCCCATACCTCCTCAAAATCCTAAAAGTTTCRAATTACTGATATGAAAAAACAAGCAAAGTGTGCTATGAATAGAAGGCATTTGTGAATGTACACATGGGAAATAGAATATTTTAAGACTAATGAATTTGAAGTTGCAAACCTAGAAGCAGTTTGGATCAGATCCTAAATCTAAAATCAATATAACATCATACTTACATTTTACCTTCTCCTTTATGTTTCATACCGCTATTTTTTAGAAGACTTTCTCCCACTATTAATATTTCCTGGTCAAATTCTGAGGTATCTTACCTGTAAATCCATTAGTATGGATTAGTCCATTAGTACAGTGCTGGAGGTAGGGATGAACAGAAGAGAGGCCTGTATCTTTTAGATGCTGCAGACTGACAAATTCAGATCTAGTTACTGAATGACTTTATAAATTGTTGTCATTTTCTTTGCTCTCTGGCAAAATCATTTACCAATTTTTACACTCTGGCAATCTTAATATTTCGGGAAGATGAGTTTAGGGAAACTTTTAATGTAAAGGGAAGTTAACTTCTTGAGTGGCATGCAAATAGAAGAGTGCAATTTTTACAAATATATAATTTAAAGGAATTACTTATAGGTGTATTCTTCATAATTAGGGCATCTACTGTAATTAATAAACAGCAACACTCTAATGAAAGCAAATATAACTGTTCTTAGATATATATTGTGTTTTGTTCTGATATATTGGGGAAGTTCTTGCATAAAAAGTTTTCTTGCATAATCAATCAGATACTACATTTTGCTGCTGCAATGTAATTCTAAACTTTTTCATTGTATTTTTAGCAAGCTCTTGACTGTAATTGGTCATTGCAGTCATGGCACCAAAGAAGAAGAATGTGAAAAAGAACAAAGCAGATATCAATGAAATGACCATCATCGTGGAAGATGGCCCCCTAAGCAAACTAAATGGCTTGAATGGACTCYTAGAGGGAGGAAATGGTTTCAGCTGTATCTCATCTGAAGTTTCTGACTCGTCATATAGCCCAAATCTCTTGGAAGGTCTAAGCAGAATGAGACAAGAAAATTTTCTTTGTGACTTGACTATCAGCACCAAAACCAAATCTTTCAATGTTCACAAGGTAGTGATGGCTTCATGCAGTGACTACTTTCACAACATCCTAAAGAAGGATCCAACCACGCATAGGGTAGACCTCAATGATGTATCCCCGTTGGGTCTAGCTACTGTTATCACCTATGCTTATACTGGAAAACTTACTCTCTCACTTTATACAATAGGTAGTATTATTTCCACGGCAATCTATCTTCAAATTCATACTCTTGTGAAGATGTGYTGTGATTTTCTAATCCAAGAAATCAGTGTGGAGAACTGCATGTACGTTGCCAATATTGCAGAAACATACGGACTAAAAACAACCAAAGAAGCAGCACACAAATTTATTAGAGACAACTTCATTGAATTTTCAGAAACGGATCAGTTCTTGAAACTTACTTATGATCAGATTAAYGAACTTCTTGCAGATGATGACTTGCAGTTGCCTTCTGAAATTGTTGCATTCCAAATTGCAATCAAGTGGCTAGAATTTGACCAAAAAAGAGTTAAGTTTGCTGCAGATCTTTTAGGTAACATCCGTTTTGGTACCATCTCTGCTCAAGACCTCGTGAATTACGTTCAAACCGTACCAAGAATGATGCAAGATGCAGACTGCCATAAACTGCTAGTGGATGCCATGAATTACCATTTGCTTCCCTATCATCAGAATACATTGCAGTCCAGAAGAACAAGGATCCGGGGAGGTTTCAGAGTGTTAGTTACTGTCGGGGGACGCCCTGCACTAACAGAAAAGTCTCTTAGCCGTGACATCTTATACAGGGATCCCGAAAATGGATGGAAGAAGCTTAGTGAAATGCCTGCCAAGAGTTTTAATCAATGCGTGACAGTGATGGATGGATTTCTGTATGTCGCCGGTGGGGAAGACCAGAACGATGCCAGGAACCAAGCCAAGCAYGCGGTCAGCAATTTCTGCAGGTAACCAGTTGTCCATGAGGGATGGAGAGATGGATTCCCCRCAGTGCAGGGAGACAGAGCAAGCTGGACTGCGAAGTGCAGCGTGAGCAGTCTGGGTGTATGCATAGGGGACAGGAGAGGGGGAAGGTATGGATGCTGTGCTGTTAAAGTCTCCATGAAATTGCCACCATGGCTACGAAGGCACAAGGTGAAGTGAGGAAGACTGAAAAATCTTACTCCAAGTGGAGGAAATAAATAACCCCTATTCAAATATTAAAATTATGAGATGTTGTCAGGTAGCACTAAAATGCATGAAATCAAAGAGAGTGAGACTTTCCAAATTTCAAGAGTAGCTGATGCATCACAGAAAGTTATGAAAAAAATGCCTTTATGTGTTACAATCTTGCCTTTCTTACGCACTATCCACCAACTTTTATATTGCATTTCATTTCCTGTTGTTTTTTTATTTCTCAAGAGTAGAAAACAATCTCTTGGTTTCTTGAAGGCTACATCTTTTCTTCTGTAATGACCCTAAATAATCCCAATTTCTGCAGTATTGCCGTTCCCATCCACTGTTATCCAAGAATTGCAATGTTGATAGCAAGATTAGAGGAGGTCAGCCAAGATACTACTGAAGATACTACTGCCATGGGGAACTCCTACTAGTTTTTAAATAGGTTTGTCTAGAAGCTAGTGGCACTCAGTAGGTTAAAGAAGAGGTGAGAAAACTCAGCATTTTATCTATTAACAGACAATGAAAAGGCAATGCCAATGTACAGCTATAGTCCTAACGCTCTCTCCTCTTCTGCTCCCAGAAGAAACATTCAGGTAACTCTCCCAAAGAGATCAGTGAAGAGATCAATGAACTGATACAGTTGATGAACAAGCAATGTTCTCTAGATCATTTTGTTGTGTAAGAAAATTGTCAGAAGAAAATAACATGCAATGAGATTACTTTGTTGCGCTCTAAACATTATGCCCTTAGCCTCTGCTTTGCTCCTAAGGCTTCTCATGAAGGTGTTGAGTGCGAGCCTTGGTTGTGTGGGTGACGAAGGGATATTTATGGCCAGGCAAGTGTTTGGCTGTAGGGGCTCTGTCCTCTGCACTGCCACTAACTTTGGGCAAGTCAGCTTTCAGAGCTGACAGACAGCAGTACTGTAGGCAAGCTAACATCATCTCTTCTTCTTATATGATTCTCTAGTCCCCTCACTATGCAATAGAAGAAATTCATGGGCCTCGCTTATGTACTTCACTTACACACTTACCCTAAGGATCATAGAATTATAGAATCCTTAAGGTTGGAAGGGACCTCTAGAGATGATGTAGTCCAGCCCCCTTGCACACACAGGGTCRCTAAGGAATCATATAGTTTTCTATTTGCTGCTTTAAAATTGCTCATTTGAGTGTCAAGGACAGAGGATGTATTTCAGACAGATATGATATTAGGGAATAAAGATGTTGTTTCCACATAAATCTAATTTAGTATGAATGTCATGGAAGGAAAATGTCTAACATTTAAAGAGTATGCAAGTATAAATCAACACCCAACACTTAGGGTTAAAAAACTCTTTGAGTAAGTTTTGCCATTTTTGCTTTGTAGGTCTTCTGTATGTAGAAATTGTAGGAAAGTTTAAAGTTTTCTACTGAATGGTAGAAGAATTACTTGCCCAAACTGCAATGAGGTTCCTATACRAAACCAAATTACAGGAATAAGTCAGATTTGCTTTACTGAAATAATATTGATTTGAAATCATCTAAAGACATTTTTCAAAAACCAAAAACTAAATTTATATGGAAATTCAAACAAGAATACCACTTTCGTTCCACCCGCTTCTAAAGGGCCAGATAAATAACTAAATTAACATAGTGCTTTAGAAACTCCACAGCTGCAGCAGTGGGGAGGCAGAGGAAGGATTGCCGAGGGCACCACAGCAATATTCGAGGCAATTACTCCCTTTTTTGATGCTTGCAGGTACGACCCTCGCTTCAACACATGGATCCACCTGGCCAGCATGCTCCAGAAGCGCACCCACTTCAGCCTGAACGTCTTCAACGGCCTCCTCTTCGCCGTGGGYGGCCGCAACTCCGAGGGCTGCCTCTCCTCCGTCGAGTGCTACGTTCCTGCCACCAACCAGTGGCAGATGAAGGCGCCCCTGGAGGTGCCGCGGTGCTGCCACGCTAGCGCGGTCGTAGATGGTAGGATCCTGGTCACGGGCGGCTACATAAATAACGCGTATTCCCGCTCAGTGGCCATGTACGACCCCTCCAGCGACAGCTGGCAGGATAAGTCCAGCCTGAGCACTCCGAGGGGCTGGCACTGCGCCGTGTCCCTCCTGGAGAGGGTCTACGTCATGGGCGGCTCGCAGCTGGGCGGGCGAGGGGAGCGGGTGGACGTGCTGCCCGTGGAGTGCTACAGCCCCTACACGGGGCAGTGGAGCTACGCGGCGCCCCTGCAGACCGGCGTCAGCACCGCGGGGGCCTCCACGCTCAACGGCAAAATCTACCTGGTGGGGGGCTGGAATGAGGTAGAGAAGAAGTACAAGAAGTGCATCCAGTGCTATAACCCAGATATCAATGAATGGGCTGAGGAAGACGAGCTGCCTGAAGCCACTGTGGGGGTGTCTTGCTGCACAATATCCATGCCCAACACCAAGACGAGGGAGTCCAGGGCTAGCTCAGTCTCCTCTGTGCCAGTCAGTATTTAAATGCTGATCTAACCAGAGATAAAGAACCATGTTTACCTGCACAGCGCTCTCATTAACCCTTTAAGTAGCATTTTTGTGCTTATATGGATAAAAAAAATGGCATTTCGACAATTTTAACAATGCAAATTGGCCAGTTTTCATCATCTTTAATACAGGTGGTGTGAAACAGCATATTACAGATAAGATGAATTTTATTAGGAGGAACAGAGAATTACACCGTAACTGTAATAGGTGTTTCATTCTGCTCCCAGTTTTGCCACTGATTTACTGTATTATCTATGGCAAAGCATTTGATTTCTTTGTGCTTTTGTTTCCTTACCTGTAAAATAGAGATGAAACTTGTTTCAGAGGGTTGTTGTGAGGCTTTTCTAATACTGAGTTTTAAATGCTTTCAGAATTCAAAATGAAAGTCAAATATCACTAGTAATAAATCTCAATATATTTTAGAAATGTGCCATGTCATCATAAAATTGGTCAGTTTGGGGTTTTTAGGCATTTTATATTTTGAAAAAAGCATTAAAAAAAAGCTTTTGCAGAAGGCATGTACATACGTTCCCTTTGGGGGAGTGATGTTCACAGAAGAAAGTTTTTATAATGTGTTCTCCTTAAAAAGTTAGAAAGGCACCTACTGTCTGCAATGAAAACAGTGCAACTCCCATATCTAATGCTATGACATGGCTTTCAAGAGCCAAATCCACAGGATACTTTAGCTACTCCAACCCTTATGAGCCTGCTCAAGGACCTGCCTTTGGCGACAGGTTGTTCTCCATGCATGTACCAAGGAGCAGACACAACCCCATGCTCCTCCACAGTCCAGGGGGATCCTCCTGTCGCTCCAGACAGAGGCAAGCTGGCTGCTCCATAGATGTCCTCTTGTTCCTACACAGCCCATCTATGTAGGGAGGCACCCCCCAGGTCACATTCTGTCTTCTGAGGAGGCTCTCATGAAGGCGAGGAACCAGAAGCTGCCACAACTTGCCACAAGCATGGAGAAGATGCATAGGAAAGCTTTCCGGGACAGTATTTATTCTGACAAATTTCCAGTGGAGTAAGAAGCAAAGGCTGAAGTCTTTAGACTACTTTTAAGAATAGAATATATGGGTAGAAAAGCCATAGAGACAATAGAGTATGTATAGGTAGACAAGCCCTGGGAAAACTGGGTGAAATAGAAGAAATTTTCCCTAAAAGTAACAAAGAGGTGTTTTAACACCTTTCTTATATATGGTAAGTAGGTATGGATGACCCAACATGACCCAAACTAACCTTTTGCTGGACAAACCACTATGTGCCTCCTTTTGAATGTACATTGCAGTCTATTTATAAGTCAGAGTGCTTATTCCGCTGACTAAGGCCAAGAATTGGCCTTGTTGGCCAGCCTTGGCCAACCTTGGCCAGCCTTGTTGAGGTCTGTGAGGTTTTCCCATGGACTGGAGCCTTAGCTCATCTCAGATTATCTTCTAATTTTTTTTTCTCAGTTTCAGCACATGATGGCGAAATTAATCATGAAAACTAATCTTATTCCATTAGCCAAAGGGAAGTGAATCCCRTCATGTTCCCTGAGAGTTTGATACCAAATGATTGATTGTAAAGAACRTCCACGCTCTTCTGTTTGAGGAGGAAAGAAACAATAAAAGGAACTAAAATTACTTAATATAACCCAGATGGTAGAAGTTCACTCTTCTTAACCAATTCATAGAGCCTTCAGTGAAGTTTTCTCACATGGTAATTGACACCTCCAAACTACAGTGCCAACTGGAAAGCATAGGCAGAGCAGAGTTTTCAAGCAGTCAGTTTTTTATCTCATTTGCCATAGGGGAACTCTATAAATGGTCCCTAAGTGCGGACATTGTTGAGGCAAACATTTACAGGACTGCCCTGATCTAATTGTTCTTTGTCACAGTTTCACATTGAGCATCAGCAGTGAGCATGACACAGTATTAGAGCCAAAGTAATTCCCACTGTCATCTGGGATTAAACAGTATGATACAAAGTCCTGCTTTCCAAATTTTAATTTAGTTCTARTTCAGGTCTGACTCCTGACTACCCAATTTTAAATCCTGAGTTCTATTTCTGAGTTACTGCATGTTATTAGAATATACTGCACTGCAATGACTTCCAGTCCAAGTAGTGCTGTCAGATAGATTTGACTAATGTAAAGTGTATATACTTACCCTTTCTTCAGTTCAAATGAATAACAATTCAGATTCATAGTCACCTAACAAAATACACAATTCTATAGCATGGTAAGATTGTTTTGCTTAAAATCCAAAAATGCTGTTCTTGCATTCTTCAGTGAGGGAAAGCATTTTCTTTGATGAGGGCATAATTTCTCTTTTCCCAAAGTCATGACTAAGTATTGCATATTAAAGTATTTAAGAAGGTCTTTGAAAAATACATCTGTTCCAATAATTTTTGTAAAATTAAAATACCATTAGATGTAGTTGCTTATCTATCCAGGCCAATAAAACCACACACACACATATCCAATTATATCTGCATATGCATATGTTAGTGTTTCTAAGGCATCCGTTAAATAAGTATCATCTAGGGCGTGAATAAAAAAATATTTTGGCCTCAGATAAATATGGGATGTCACATGCACGTGCCTCTTTCTCCTGTCAGGAATTCAGTGCTAAGATGATCTGAGCAGTAGGATGTTCTTGCAAGCTTTCCTCTTTTGTGAGCCAGCATTTCCTGTAGGTTACCAATGACCTTCTGCTTCCCAATAGCTGTTTGTGAAGGATGGGCTAAGTGCAATGAAATACTGTCTACTACTTAAAAGGTTAAAAACTTTGGGGGCCAAGTCCTGTCCAACTTACAAAAAAAAAAAAAAAAAAAAAAAAAAAAAGTCCCATTGACTTCCCTGGGGTGGTTGAACACAATGTATAGGATTTCACTCTGTTGGTCCAATTCTGGCAGAGCAACACATACAGGAGCTGCCCATACCCAGAGCAAGACCACCGCCCTTCGCCACGAGAAAGGGATAAAACAGAGTCCTAGAGCAGGAGTCGAGCAAAACTGGCCACCTATTCCTGCCATTGCACCAGCTAGGTATGTACGTCAGGCCAAACAGCTTAGGTAAATGAACAAATAGTATTGTTACCAGCATAGCCCTCACCGTGTGCCTTTATATTGTTTTCATTATTTTATTTCAATATCTCTTTAGGGTTCAACTGCACATTGAGCCAGGATCTGGCCCTTTATATGTGAAATTATCTGCTGAACTTAATATTATTTTGATCATACCAATGTACTGCCCTAGTCGTGACATTTTTATGTACAATGTTGTTTCATTAGAACTGTGAAAAATGGTTTGTACCTTATATGTTATGGTACAGTTTTCTAGCTTTGTCCAGCACAGTGTTTTCACTCTCCAAATATTTACTAGGAACAGCTCGATTGAACTGGAAGCATTGTATATCCCCCAAATAAATTTTTAAATGCAGTTTGAGAAGTACTGTCTGTGAAAATATTATCAAGCACAGCAGAGAGATTCCAACTACACAAGAGGCAGATTATTAAAACAACTAAGGGATCTTCTTTGGTGTTTTACTAACAGAAAACAAAAAAGTGTGTGCAGTTATCTTAAAAGTTCCTTATACCTGCATTTTACAGTCCATAACATCTCTGCTTCAATGGAATTCAAATCTGAAAATATTCTTTATTCAGTCTAGGAGTGAAACAGTTAGATAATATTTTATTTTCTTGTTTCATCATGCTTGTATAGGTATGTAAGGTCAAGAGAGGGAAACTTAATGTTAGGAGGTGATAAGGATTTAGTTCTAATCTAGATGAGCTCTGATCATTTAATCTTTTCCTGGAGTGAACTCATTAGATCATCTGTGGTTTAATCAGAGTATGGTAAGGGCCAAGTTGTAACTACTCAAAGAGCGAAGTAGACTACTTTAGCATCAACCAAGGCTTTGAAACGTTAAAAAGTTCAGATTTTTAAATGGCAATTTATGCCAAGAAAAGTACATGATGAATGAAATTACTGAATAAAAACATTCTTTATATAATCTTCAAAAGTCACTTAGTTGATTCTGCATTTCTAAATTCTTCAAAACCTGCTCTGTTTTAGAGGGAGCTTTGCCCTAGTAAGAGCTGGGTTTGGAGAATCAAGGTGTAGACCCTATCATCACACAAATAATTGTATGAATACCTTCTAAAATACAGTGGGACTTCTTTTATATACAGTCATTCTGGTGTGTTTATATTTAGAGTATCAAAATCCAAGAAGTAAATACATGGGATGATAAGTATCAAAGTCTAGTGAAGGCCAACATGGACAACTGATCCTCAGTTTTTGGGTGCCCACTTGAAGGCACATGAAAATTTTGGAGACTAGATGTCYCTATCGAGATCAGTTCTTGGAGGACAGCTGCCCAGGGAACTCCTATGTAGGAGCCCAGGCTTTTTGTGCAATACATGTGAGGGCCTCCACCTGAGAAAGGAAAAAACAGCCATGTAGCCCAGTCAACAGATGATGATTTAGTTGCCATGTCTCAAGGATTTTCAGAAATGTGYATTGGAGGGAAGTATCTGCTTCTACACACAGCCTTCACTAAACAGCCTTTGCTTTATGCTAATCGAGCCTCTATGATAAAAAGCAGGACTCAGTTTTCAATTGACTTTAACTTGAATTCCAAGTTGCATTGAAGCCTCAGTCCATTGTAACCTKGGTTTACCCTTGCAGAGACATTGGTTTTGAATTCTGAAGCTATGTATTTGGAGAATGACCTTGAAACCAATCAGCCTCCTGGCCTTTTGGCAATGAATCTTTCCATTCTTTTTGTCAAAGTCTCTGTATAAATAATCGAAAAGTCTAAAGCAGCCATTTGCACTCTGACTTGGTATAGTCACACTAGGCTTATCATAAATGATAAGTTGTCCCTTTTTAAGAACTTTTTCCTTCTCACATATTGAGCGACTACCCCACAGGGTGCCAATGAAGATACTGGTGCACAGTACATAAAGCTCATCTGTGRCTCTTATTTCAA